GAATGTAACCCTGCATTTTACAAACGACTGGCAAATATGTTCATTTAACTGAGACTAGATGAACACTCTCTCTGAAGGGGGCATCTATTGCATGCAGGAGGACTGGATACTAGTGTTGATGGCTGTGACAAAACCCGCTGAATATCATGTTCTTGAACCTCTTCTGTTCAGCAAGTGCTGCTCTGTCCCCCCCCCCCCCGGGCATCAGTGCATCTCTGGGTTGAAACCTGACTTTGTCCATTATAAGTGAAGGAAAAATGAGTCGGAAACGAATGAGAGGCAAAGCAGAATGGAAATAGTAGTTAGCTATGCAAACATAACTACTCTCTGAACGGCGATAACGCGTTTTTTCAAACAAATGAAGTAACTATTTCTTATTTTAAATGAAGCAATCACAAAGTTCATCCTTACAAATCAGTGGTTACCTAGAACGTCGTTTGAAAGAAGACAGCTTTAGTCTTTAGTAACATTCCCATTTAAAATGTTGGTTTGACTCTCGTTTGCTATATAATACAGATGGCAATGAAAGCAAGCCGGTACCTTTAAGGAACGCCTGTGCCTCCAAGCAAGTTGCTTCGATTGCAGAATTGTGATTGCGAAAACAGGCCCACAAAGCAACTGACAGTATCAAAAGTCTATTGATCACATTGCTTGGTTTCTCCATTCTCGTTTTTAAGCTACTGCAGCTCCAATAAAACAAATTTGCAAATTAAACCTTGTTTTTAAATGAATGACATTCTACTTCTAGTGACGTCCATGATCGATCGATCCTGCACATTAGCAGTGGTAATCAAGATAACTCGTTTTTCAAAAAGAAAAAGATTTAACCTAATCGCAACTTTAAAAAACAGAATTATGGCTTAACCTACTGACTCCGGCACCAACATAAAACCGTTAAATTTTTTGGCCTCCAACCAATCTAGATAGAATTCTACTGTTAATAGATCCATTGAGCTGTAATGATAACTGTTAATAACTGTTCCATACCAACTGGTATAATCTAGCCATAGTTGAATACAACATTTTATACAGCTTCCACTTTCTTTGGCCTAATCTGCTACAGCCGTCTGGATTTCGTTAATTGACATGCTCAAAATTCTCTTACATATTTTAATGTCAACAATTGGCCCTTGTTGTAGTTTGCCTATATCATTTTATTAAAAATAAGAACTTATCAATCAAAGGAGTGAATTAATCAATTAAAGAAAGAGTAAACAAAAAGATAGAATAAATTTATTTTCAAGTGACTCAATGAATAGGAGTGTTGTCTGAGGGCAGAATTTTAAGCAAAGCAGGCAACTTCATATCCGTTTTTTCTATAACTCCACAACGATTCATTTAGTTCATACTACAAGAATATTTATTTGTATTCCAGAGAAAGAGGTGTGTATCCACATCCCATTGAAGATGCTTTACGCAAATTTATTTATAAAAGACATTAATAAATCTTGGTTGTTAAGCAAAAAACCAATGAATCATGTTCTGACGTCTCAAAACTCACTTCAAAGAATCACTTTGATTCATTGTGCATTCAAGCGTGGATCATGTTTGTGACTTTAGATCGAACTGCCCACTTAAATAATATGGTTTGCTTCCGCAGGCATTTTGCTTCTCTACAACGTTTTTTGTTGCTATGAGACAGATCCTTCGCCCTTATTCCTTCCTAGTTACATTACGTATTTATCCATGTTATTTGTAAGCTATTTGTTTGTTGCTACAGTTACTTTTATTATGCAAGAAATTTTTTAAAGAACACGAGCCTAGAATATGGTCATAAATTAAGATCAGCTTGAAACTAGCTTAGGCCATGGTGGTGTCAAATGTAATTTTGAGCAATAAAGTCAGCGTGCAAACTGATTTAAAACCATGAAAATTGATTAAGAACTGCATATCAAACATATACCCTAAGAATAATTTGAGAAAATTAACTTATACCCCAAAATTTTTACTTATACCCTAAGAATAATTTGAGGAAAAATTAAGATTTGCCCGATTTTTTGAAAAAATTAAAAACAGCAAGCCTGAAACTTTATTTTTACTTGTTTTTATGTAAATGAGTGCATTTGGTTGATTTTCATGTCTGCCATTTTGGAACGTGCTATTTTGCTACACTCGTGGAAGCCATATGCAGTTGTGAATTATAAACACTAGCTGCTCTACGCAAGTAGGCACTGGATGACTCTATGATATAATTTTTGACTCTATAATATGATATAGTATGAATGAATGACTCTATCAATATGATATAATTTTGGTCACTAGTTTAGTCGCTTTAAGGGATTCTAATTCATTTAATCTGACAAGGTCTTTTGCATTACGACAAAAAATCAAATATCCCCGCGTTTATGCCTGTTGACAATGTCATCACAAAATAACAGTATTTAGTGGCACTAATGCTTTACTTTCATTCTTATTGTTTTTAAACGGAAGCTCCATTTATCTCGAGGAACCCTGCATCAAATCAACAAAGCACTCTCATGCAATTTGTGATTATGATTAATGATGCAATATGATTGTGATCAATGATTTGTCACAACTAAAGTTGAGACTGATGAATCAGGTGCGCATTAATGTTTCGCTCCCTCCTTTCTGGCCCGTTCTTTTCTATGCATGGCGAGCATACAGCCTAAAGTCAATATGATTATTATGAATAATGGCAGTAAAGACGAAATTGCGAGCATAAAACAGCCAATCATTTATGATTATTCATTTCTTATGATATTTAATAATTGTCATGCATACCGTAAGTCCTCTAATATGCCCCTTGGGGGGAATCTTTTAGATAGGCGCTGATTGTTCGATGGTTGGGGACTTATTCAAGGGATGAGGGGTGAGTTTTGAAAAATCATCTTCCATTTGTCAAACAACTAATAATTTCATATGCATTTACACGAAATCTCTTTGTAAGACTTTTTGCCAATGTATAAATCAAAGCATCAAAAGACATTTTAGCCCAAAGCATATTTTCTTTGTCTTTCCGGCAATATCTTTCTTCAGTAATGTACTAGAATGGTGTATCTTTCTGCTGTATCTTGATTAAGCTCCCCCCCCTGTGAGCTTATCATAGCGCGAAATTTGGTATATCAGCTTAGGCTCCTATTCAAAAGGGTGGGGCTTATTAAAAATTTTTACTTCCAGGGCCAGGAAATGTTTACTTAAATGTTTACTTTAAGGGGGGCTCATTCAATGATTCACGGCCAAAGTACGATTGATGCCAGATGCCATATAAAGGATAAACATAGATGAATGCGGGGTAAATACCCTGTATTGAAATCTCTAGGCTATCGGCTATTACATGAAGTTGAAATAGCCAATTCCAAACAACTGTATATAAACCTATACATTAGCTAAAAGGAAGTTACCCCGTTGGGAGCTTCAAGTACTATATCAGGATAACTTAAGACCATTGAAGTTATAAATGCGCAAAGGATATCGAAAGTTGCATAGATGGTAGCAGATATCTCTGTAGCCTCTTTACTGCATTTTCGCGACTCGGGGGCATCTTTCAACTTATTGTTCTAAATGATTAACTTAAACGGGGTTTAGTTCAAGAAAGCTTTCGAGTTCTTTCTGGCCGACCCTAATTGCTCTAAGTTATATCTGCATATGTAGCAGTCATTTTTTAATAAGATTAAGCAAGTGAAAAGCATTCGGGCAGAAATAACACAAGCTTATATTCTGCTCTGTCACTTTGACTTCGCAAAGTTAATTAACACTGCACATAAACTAAACGAACTGGTCCAAAATAGAACTCACTTCCTGAAAATAAAAGGCTTTTCCATTCATATAATCCATGTCACTCATACCTTTATGAAAAAGTTGAGCAGTCTTGGTTTCCCGCATGAAAACTATTTGACAAGTAAAATTGGACTAGCATTTTGATTTGCTACGTGGCTGACAAGCTTCATGAACTCTGTATCGAATTTTCAATATAAAATTAAAATCAAATGGACGGCTAAATGAAATTCAATTATTATTAACTTATTAATTAAAGTCTATTTCTTCCGGTACGTTAGTCGATCTCTCAATTACCGTTTTCTGTGCCGCAGGCCTAGCGTAGAACTTCAAGGAATTTACAAAGCAGGTCTCAAGATTCGTGCTCTCCCCTTCTACATCTGTGAAGGCTGAGAGCAATCGTAAAATGCGTCATTTGCAAATGCAACAATTACTGTTTTTATAAATCCTTGATTCAAATTTTATTGCCATTTTTGCTGTCTTGAATTTGTCTGTATGCTTCATAATTGCAATGTAATCTGAATTGGGATTTTGAGCCTTCTATCTAAAATTTGAAGCCCACGGTCTTCGAACTTCCAATACAATACCAATATACCAATTGAACTTTCTCTCACGTAATGTTTCTCGACGGATTGAAAATAAAGTCATTTGAACTTTTTTAGCCTACTAGCTTATGGTAGAAGTCCCCTCCGCCCCCTTTGGGATGCAACTGCCATAAGTTGGAAAACACCCAGTGCCCATTCACTGTGCAGTTCCTTTTAAAGTGAAGTACTTTTTGGAAACATTCTTTGCAATTAAACAAATATATCTTGCTTCCCGTCTGTTAACCGTTGCATTTAAACTTTGAATGGATTAACCTCTTTTCACTTTGAGGTAAACACAGTTAGCATTGCGACTACTTGAATTCATCAATTGATCGCATAGATACGACGTAGGATTCTTGGGCACTTTAATCTTATTCATCATATATGAACACAATGGAACCCAGTTTTACTTAAAGGCTTTTATTTAACGGCTCTTAATCGCCTCGCGAATGCTTAAGATCACCAAATAATGTAATTGACTTTTTATCACGTGATCACAATGTCAATCAAAGTAGAAAAACGAAGAACATATAACAGAGAGGGAACGGCGTGTGAGAGGAAGAGGTTGTGTTGATTCAAATGTGCAAGTTCTGTCAGAGATTGCCCAGTGCTCCGCATTGAATTTAGTAAAGGTTACATTTTAATTGTGGTGAGGGATTCGTTCATAGCTGCTCGTGTATTATGGATGTGAAAACATTGATCTTTGTGTTACTTGTCCCCGCTTGCACTGGAGCTGTGATGATCAACCAGGGCTGCAGCGCTTTTCCACGAGAAATCCAATTTTTGTGTTATCAAATTGGACAAATTTGGGGACAAAATCAGATATCAAACAATGTTGTCGAGGCCTTACCTTCAGCCGAAGGGGAGGATCGCGTTGCCCTCACAATCAACGACGTTGGATATGAACATAACAAGCCTCAAGGTTTGTACTGTCATTTACACATGCTTATTATCTATTTCTTTTTTGTGTCTCTCTTTGGTTTTCTGTTCATTCATTGGGTATTATCGATCATTTTAGTTTCTAGGTTCAAATTTTTTAAGTTGAGACGTATCTAGGTACTCAAAAAAATTATTTGATAAATGCAACTCTTCTGCTCTCTAGGATAAGAACCCTTCCTGGATAAGTTCGAAAAACATGCAAAAAGTTATACCTGAGCCTACTTTCTAACTTTTCTGGGGCATCCAAACCGTGAAATACCCAGCAGAATAGAAGGCATGTCCTTGTTTTCGACTTCATCAACTATTGCTCCAAAGTCTATCAATCGCTCTAACTTCGGAGATATATTAATAGCGTTGAACAAATTTGTGCATATATAAAATTATGTACTTCATATTATACGTCTCTAAAACAATTTCCGTGAACTTTTCGAAAATCGCTTTTAAAAAACGGATACAAACAGCATGACAACAATATACAGTTAATAAAAGGTTTATGAAAATTTTTCCAACCAAACTATGATTTTCACATCTTTCATCTACAGATTATCGACTATATCTGGGCAAATAGGCCTCCTCCCTCTCGTGGTTTGTAAATAACGAAAGTGTTTCCTCTTTTGAAAATTTAAAACGCAATAAGAAAAGACCACTTCTCGTTGGAGATTCTTGAATTAACCACGAAATTGATAATGATTATTTAAAGTAACATGAATATTTGATAAATGAAAGACTCGATCAATCTTAAGATTCGAAAGAGGGACGGCAAAGAGATCTAACCAAAATTAATTGTTATCAGATAATGTTAGTAACGCTTGGGATGTTGATACTGATAAAATTAATGATGGTTTTTATTTCAAGATTTTTAGAATAACTGCATATTGTTATAATTCAATGTGCATAATTATGATTGAAATGTTTTTTATTATAATGATTATGATAATGTTTATAGTTTATGCTTCTCCCCAGTCCCCTTTGACTGCAAAACTGTCTCTGCTTCCCTTTTAAAAAAGACTTTGATCTAAAGCAAACGAATGGGTAGCTCGCTTATATAAATTTCTTTTCGACAACACTGTAATTAATAAAGAGAAAATTTCACAAACAACAAAGATGATCTGAAGTGAGAGTTCTCATCAGCTTTATATCAGCCAACCTATGCCTTCGTTTTACTACAAAGGTTTTTGTTTCAAAGGCTTTTGGTCGAAAAGGTTGCATCACGCCACATCCACCTCCTTTTTCCCAATTATAGTGCCAACCATCCTTGACAAGGGTGCATTATTTGGCATTCTGGCTCAAAAGTTTGCTAAAAGATATCCTGTTATCTGTATTATCTTGTGCCGTAGTAAATGAAGAGTTATTTCAAGAACGTATTTTCTTGTATTCTCTTATCTAAAATGACATTATTATCATATCTTCATTTGAATTTTGCCAGAGAAGCAATAAACTTTCGTAGAAACAGCTTCAATTGATTTTAGTAACATTTTTATATATAAATACTTGCAATGACAGCAGATTCGTAAATATAAACACCGCCATTAATATGAATCATCGATAGTCTACTAAGTTGAATTCTCTGACGTGCTACTGAAAATAAAGTCTATTCAATAAGTATTCACTTATAGAGTCCGTTGTCATGTTGATTTGAAATAATCGACTTAACTTAATGAATGAGAGAATTTCAGATAGTGTAGGACCGTAGGCGATTTAAGTTGCCGTACTTTATCGAAATATTGTTGCTTTGTTTTGATGTTGCCTTGCCAAAACATTTTCTAGTATGGACGATGACGTTAGCAAATTTCGTATTTGTTGATGAGCAGACTGTCTATTATATGTAAGCACTTAATCTAATTTTCATAGTGGACATCTCCATTTTTTGCCGTGTATATCCACTAGAAAATTCCGAGCTAACATATTATTTGTATATTTATACGAGTCTGTTCATCTACCCTGCTAAAGACTTCCATTATTACCTCATGTCTTTTGAGCCTTGCAAGACCAGTGAACCAGGTTCAAAAAGGTTTTTCTGAAGATGTAGCTATCTCCATTCCAGATAGCACCATGCATTCCTTTACATTGGTTTCAATTTAGAGAACTATTAAACAATCATTTTCTTCCATTTTGATTGTAATATAACGGATAGTTACTTCAATTGTTAAAACAAATCGATATTTCTTCATTTAGCGTAGCATTAACGTATTAGGCCATTGTCGAGCTCAAAATTGTATTGGCAACAATGTGAGGTGGTCTTGATTTGCTATGTGGCATATCATAGTGACGTATCTACTACGAACGTAAAAAAACGGTTGTGTCAAGATTTCAAGATTTTTTGCCTAAAAATGCTTAGGGCCTTCAATTTCTATGATGCTATAGCGTCGTAGCAACCCCCGCAATCACAGTGTATGCATGGTCTTTTTTGTGTTTTCCAGGGTGCCCAATTGCTGACTGCGAAACTTGTTCCACTCCCCAAACCTGTGAGAGGTGTCAGCCAGGCTATTACACACAGTTCAATGCGGATACAGAGAATATCACATGCGTCAAAGAGTGCTTGCCGAACTATGTTCCTGCAATAGATTCTAGTGGCAAAAGTTCATGTACTGAGAGGCTCCTAATGAGTGAGTTGCCATTATCAAGATTGTCTTTAATTCCATCTCTTTTGCTGTCTTTAGAGAGTCAGAACATCAAATTTGGACTACCAGCATAGAACATCTAACTTTTAAGACCAAGTTTATTATAACTTCAAAATGAGCCATTATTGAAGTGTAACAGTGGCTATTTGCCATTTCGTCCTAAATCACATTCTTTCGCTCTAAAAAGAAGATTTATAGTTTTGCACGAAGTTGTACTTTCTATTCCGCAAAGTTAATTTCGCAAGAGAAGTGAAAGAAATTGTGAAAAGGTTCTTTGTTTCATGAAAGTGCGTATTCATTCAACGCAAGGGACCCTGTTTCTTACACTGTGCATGACCCTCCACTCATTTTCTACTGTCTTCTCATTCTTTGATAAACTGTCATATTTTTAGAAAAGTTTGAAAACAACACTTTCTTCTTATAATAAGATAAAATTACTTTTTAGTCATTTTAAGTTGAGCCAAATTTTTCATCAAGAGGAGAGAAACCTATTAGAGTTATGTTGTCTAATAAAATTCTATCTTTCCATTGAAAAACAAAGAACTTTTTCTTCAAAATGTCAAAACAAGTTTCCGACAATAATGACATAATTTTACTGGAAGGCAAATTTCGTTTTACCGTCTCGCAAGTTTGGATGTTTACTGCCCTTTGAAAGCCAAGCTTCTTAGGCCTAACAACCGCAGCCCTGTATTAACGAAATTGTGACAGCCAAAATTGTGTTTCGACGTTTTGTGCTAATCCTATCCTTAACGGTGCTATTAGTTTCTAAAGCATGTTTCTCTAAAACTGAATTCTTGGGATTGTATAATTCAGTTACATGTAATTTTCTGAGACAGGAAAATATTGCTATGACGAGGCGAAGTATTACTTTTCCTTAAATAGACCTCCTATGGTAAAATAGTCAAAGGTCTTATTCAATTTTATAAGGAAGCTTGACCTAGAACTAAATAAAACTGGCTCCTAGCTCAGCAATAAACGGGCAACATAAACGTCCACTCTTTACTTTGTTAGAAAATTGTTGAAATGTTTGCACTCTTTTCCACCTCACCTTCAACGAGTTAAGATTTCAATGAAAATTCGTCCCTTCTTAATATGGTATTATGAAGCTTACATTTAATTCCAACTTCTAATGAATTACACAATTTTCAAACAGTAAACAATATGTTACTTCTTCTGATAGAATTTATCATCTTCTCTGAAAAGAGCTATTACGGTTCTTTTTAAAACTTCGCGGATTGCCACGTCTTGAGGGCAATGACATCTCTTTTATTAAATGCAATTACTAAATGATGAATCTCTGCTTAGAAACTAATTTCTATGCATTTTCTTTCCTTTTCCAGAATGCTACATCCGAAGGTGTATGACATGTTTAGGTGCGATGACATGCACAAAATGCACGCCTGGCTATTACCCACAATTCCATTCGGCCTGGGAAGAGACAATCTGCGTCAAGAAATGTTTTAGGGGATATTCATTGGTTGCTGGTTCTCATGGCAGCAAAATGTGTAAACAGATTCGACGTCCCAGTATGTCTGTTTTCTAGATGTAAACTTTTTGTGAAATCATTTCTTCTCGAATGGTGGCAATTGTCATAGATTGAATTTGTTTCTATGCTTTTTAGAAATGTAGGCATTTGATTTTACTTAATTAATCTCGTCTTCGGATGTCTCGCTTACTGTAGCTGCGATATTTGTTTGCTGTACTTGCATGATTGAAAATTCTGCCTCCATTCACTTTCATGAAAATCTCTTTTACAAGCTGCTTGTGATTTCATTTTTCTAATTTTTGTCAACAGAAGGATGTCAGAGTTTCACATGCACATCATGCAAGCGAGGCTTTTATATGCTTCGCAACGTGACAAAGAAGTCGCCATGTAGTCGAAGGTGTCCCAAAGGCTACTTGAAAGACAGAATCAGACGAAAGTGCGTTCAATGGCCGAAGTGAATAGCGCTGTATCACAGCTTCGCATAGCAATCATCATTGAAGAAAGTCAACATTAGCTTGAGACTAATTTAATGTTATACTCTATTTGTGAAAAGCTGTACTTTCGTTGCACGTAATTTGAGATGGCTTTTGGCATATTGACTTCATGTACACCCACATTCTGTCATGAGAATAATAGTTCTTTTAAGTATTTTCATGCTAGATTATCGTCAAAATTTAATACGTTTATCACGCATAACAGGAATTGTATTCAGCAAAAGTTTTAAAGAAAAACAATGACTCCATCACCAACAGAAAATGATTCAACCTTTGACTTGTGACTTTTAGAACTTTAACTTTGACTAAGAACTCTGAACTTTTAATTTGTTGTTTTTCAGTTCCTGTTATTTGCGAATTTAACATTTAATTGTATTTAGACATCTTGTTTTATAAAGTGCATAAAACCGTTCATGAAGCAAATTTTTTTGCATCCGAATTCTGCGTTGATAATAACTAAATTGGACTTGATTTTAGAAAGCAATTGGGGTCGCTAACAGCATAAGAACGGGTCATCAAAAACCTCTTCACGAGTTGGCCTATGTGTCATTGATTGGATGGATGAAGATGTCATTTTTCTGAAAGTTGTTTTAACCTTCTTTAAAGGCTCTTGTGATATTTTCTAAGCTTGCCTATTGGGAATCTTTAATGACACCAAAAAACCTAATTGATTGATAGCAATAAATCGTATGAACAGAATTAACAACTTTGTGACGTCATTTCATACTGAACCTGAAAAGAGGGAAAGGGAAAGATATTATCACGATCAGAAACACACAACGCAACTCTTTCATACATCAATGTAATGACGGGGTTTGGCCAAGCAATTAAAACATATTCTTATAATGCTTATATGATTTTTCGCCTTTCATGCTGAAGTTCAGCTGTTTGTGAGTCTTTTCTGTTGAAAAGACTTGAATTCCGATTGACGATTCTCTTCCCGAGGCAACAGTACGCGACCAGTGTTTTTTTATTGCAAGCAGTAAATGTCTTCTCTGCTTTAGGCAACTTCTCTTAAATTTCACCAAGGAAATGTCACTTGTCTACAATGCTACCTCGATGTATAACCCCCATGGTCTAGTTGCATTCATTCGTATTCAAGCTCACTAATTATCCAGCTTTCTGTTGACTTTCTGTGAACATACAAATAATAACATACAAACCATTTCAGTTGCTTAATTTGTTTAAATCATATTAATTTTCACATCATATTTAGAACTGTCATCAACCTCGAGAAGGAAACAAATCGGCAAAGTCAGCCTGCTGGTCTAATATCCTAAATCGTGGTTACGAAGCTTCTTTGCTTTTTGCTGCAGAACTTAGTAATCTGCTTCAGTATATGCCAGTCGAACTTTGAAGGAAGAGAAATCCATTCAAGCAGGCATATATCTCCCTCAACGTGTCACAGGTGAGAATTCATTAAATATTTGTTAGAAAACCTCGAATTTTAGTTGAATACAGAATGTGCTCGTCAGGAAAGTAGCGTGAAAATCACGAACTTTTAAAAAGGATTTGCATGTCATGTAAATACCAGATGGAGAAGCAGATGGAGAAGTGCTTTAGTTCTCAACAGTGTAAAGATTAACTCGTTTAATGTTTGATTGACTAATTTTCTCAAACCACCAAAATCTAAGCCAGTGGCTCCTTGATATTGCGATTAATCTTTTCATCTAGTAACCCATCGCTGTCCATACTCATGCAAAAAAATTACTGCTAGATAAGTAATTATTGTTATGAATATAATCATAACAATCAGAGTGAAACAGACATACTAAGCTTGGTTTTTGCTCGTTGATTTTAGGTTACGTTAATGCTTAATCTTATTATGTCTCTTGATTAATCCTATGCAAATCCCGATTGAGCCTAATCAATGCAAAAGGCTTGCATTCTACCGCCTCAGCGACACACAGTATTTAATCAAGTTGAAGGTGATTCTCGTTTTTGCAATTATGATTGAAACAGTGTGGCATGAGCCGTCGCACTAAATTTGTAACAAGGTGGCAATTCTTCTTGAAAGTTACTCATTTACGTTGAAAGATCATTGCAGAATAATGAGAATAGTTAAGCCCATCTTGATATAAAAGTGACAGCAGTCTCCTTATATCGCAGCCTCGTTATATCGCAGCCTCGTTATATCGCAGCCTCGTTATATCGCAGCCTCGTTTATATCGCAGCCTCGTTATATCGCAGCCTCGTTATATCGCAGCCTCGAGTGAATATGATAATGTATAATGTTTACCTGGATTGGACATACCCTATGAAGCTCACATTGACCAACTGCCAACCATGAACTAAAACGTCACTACAAATCGCTTTAAATCATTCAAACTCGTTATTTACCTGTAAAAGATCTTGTGAGATTAAAGTTTGATGAACTGTTTCTGGTCCTGCGATTTAAGAACAAGACCTAAGAAAAAAAAGGTTGATAATATTTATAAGTTTAAAATATTCTTAAAAGGTTGCTAAAATCATAATTAAGAAAAGTGTCAAATTCTGAATCAAAATTCTAATGCTAATGGGGTACTCTTCAAAAAATGAACAATACATATGGTGTCCCACAACGAGGTGTGCTTGGACCACTTTTAATTATTCTATATATAAATGGCATTTCAGCTACGGCAATGCAGGTTTATTTCAATGGAATTATCGACTTTCAATAGTTTGCTGACAACGCAGATTTATTCGATTCAAATCAGAAGTATTTTGGCTTACATGAGTTTTAGTTAAACTTTAAACTAACTAAAGTTTCTGAATGGCTTTGCGCTAGCAAACTAACCTTGAAGAAAAAAAGATCAAACTGTTTCTTTGCTCCTGGACGAAAACTGCAAACTTCATATGCACCAATAACAAAAAATAGAAGTAGAATATTATGTGAAACACTTGGGGATCTCCTTGACAAAGATCTTTTTTGGAGACCTAACATATAACAATCCATTATGAAGATTTCTCAAAGGCTTGGTATCATTCCCAAATTAAGACAGTTTGTGGCATCTGATATTCTTACCTATGTTTATAATGCATTTGTTTCACCGCATAACGTGTTTGCCTTTATAAGTTGGGGAGGTGCTTGCAGCACCTTTATAGATCCACTGAGAAGAAGTATGTCGTGCGCAAATTAGTGAACTCAGTCATTTCAAAACAAACAGTCAATCCTTATTTTCACAGTAAACATTTTTAAATCTTGACGACTCCTATAAATGGTAGTCTGCAAAATTTATGTATGACACTTTCAATAGAACATTTATTTATTTGGATCTATTTCACGAAATACCAGTTGACATTCGCAGTTTATACTCCATCGTTGCTGTTAGGCATCAACTTAAAAACAACTGCAAGGATTTTAGCTGTTTTATACCTATTATAAAATTTTAGAAAAACAGCCCATTAATGTGAATATCGATGGAAACTTTATGCTTTTTACTCTATTTATAGATTGTTTTGCTTTTCTCAAATTTTCTCTAAGCTTTAATATATATCTAAACAGAGTCCTTATTGAAAACAGTACTTGTGTACTGAAAAGGTTTACCCTGTACAACTATTTATCTTATTATTTTTATTAACTACCCAATCTTCTGGAAATTTTTTTTGACCACGCACTTCAAACACTCGCAAATGCGAGGGAACGCCACTTTTGCAAAATTTTTCCCCATTATTTGATTCAAGTTAGATACGGTAAAAGGCAAAGTATACTACAATTTTTACTTACACAAGCATACAGAAGACCACCCCTCCCCCCCCCATGAATTTTACATCGTTTTTGGACAAATCTCGAGGACCATATTTTACAAAAGTGGGTGGTCCGGACCCCCCTATTCCCCCCTTAGGTACGCCACTGCTAATCATCAACTTCCTGATGCTTCATTAATATTAATATGTTTGTTATCTTAATAATTTTACTCTCTCTTTAGTTCTATTTTCTACTTTTAGGTATTTTTCTTAGTGGTACAAGACTTGTAAATGGCTTTGAAAAAGCAAACATTTAGTAAACTAAAGCTTTTCGTCTGACACTCTTCAGAGTTTAAAACGTCAGAACATAGATCGAAAACTCTATCGCTACGAAATATACCCAGTTGTGGATCGAAATAGGCCAATCAGAAACACGAACACATGACTGTAAAGGTTGACAATCAGTGTCGCTTGCCTATTAGAATGTTAGCCAGTAGGAGTCCTAAGGTGAAAACGAACTCCTTATGTCTACACAGTAGCGGTTTTTTCGTGCTTATGTAGGTAGATTCTAAAACTGCTAGGTGGAACGACGATCGGGTTCTACCAATAATCCGAAACATCCCGTTAACATTCTAATAGGCAAGCGGCACTGATTGGTCAACCTTTACAGTCATGTGTTCGTGTTTCTGATTGGCCTATTTTGATCCACAACTGGGTATATATATTTCTTAGCATAGAGTTTTTGATCTATGTTCTAACGTTTTAAACTCTGAAGAGTGTCAGACGGAAAGCTTTAGTTTACTAAATGTTTGCTTTATTCAAAGCCATTTATTTTTCTTAATGCGACTGTTGAATATTTCGTCATTTTAGCCGACTTCTACTGTGTAGATTTAGCAAGAGGTATTTTTCTCGAATGCCCAATTGCGTTTCTTCAAGTATCCACAGCAACTCAATGTATTTTATTTGGTTTCTACGCAATCAATGTCAAAACTGAGTTGCTTGAAATGAAATGAAAATTAGTTTCCAACCAATGTCCACCGCAGCCTCGACCTCTAACCCTTTGGCCAAACTTTATTTCAGACAAGCTCCAATTCAATCTTAGGATCAAATCAATGTTTAAAACTTTGTATTTCATTGTAAAAGATGTTTCTGAGAAGTCCAGCATGCAAGTGCCATTGAATTCTTTTGGCTATTCATTAGAAACCATAGGTGACATTCTTAAAATTATGTTTTGTGAAATTGTTCAAGCCCTTTCCTTCCCTTTTGCTATGTCGAACGTAATTATTTCATCATCTTTA